ACATGACTACACATTGCTGGAAGGCAAGCTGGGAATTGTAGTCTAGTTGTGTGCCCTGAGGAAACAGGAATGAGTTTGGTGAACAGCTCATCTGTCTTTGCATAATTATTTTAGGCTGTCAGGGCTCCTGCTTCTGCCTGAGCTGAGGTGCTGAGGTACAGAAAGGGCTCTCTGGTGGGTTAGTGAAATCTCATATCTAGCTATAATTTACGGTTGGCTCTGGGCTAAAAACCTCCTGAAAAGGAACTCAAAATGCTTTCCTACTTGAAGGTTCAGATATATGCAGCATGTCCAGCTAATGGGGAGAGAGGGAGTACCTCAGATGACTAGAAAGGGACAATAAGATCCCTGAATGTGAAAACATTCTGGAGAATACGGAGTCAGGCACAATGAGTGTCTTAAGGTCAAAGGGAAATGTAAGTTCTGGGTCACAGAAGAACATTCCCACCTAACCACTCTAGCCACTTGTCGGCATCTAGGGAGGAAAACGCTGTGTGGGGAGCTAAAGAAGCTGAAACTCTTGGGAGTTCAAGTGAGTCTGCTGCAGGCCCCTGGAATAGCACAGCACAGAGGAGAGAGGCCATTCCCTTGCTTCCTGGCAGAAGAACTTGGACAGCAGGTATCGCAGGGGAGAGCAGTGGTGCTGAATAACCCACAGCCCAGGGACAGAACTGAGGCCCTGAGAGGGGAACAGAAGAGCAAAGCAACTGCCCAGGGTCAAGAGCAATAATGAAGAGGACTCACAACGTTGCTTTGAAGTGACTGTGGCTGTGGAAGCATCTGGTCCCCAGCCGGAGCCCCTCAAGAGGCAGTCCTTGGCAAAGAGGAGGTCTGGGTGAAGTGACCTGGGGCAACCCAGGGCAGCTGCAGCGAGCTTAGAAAGCAGGATCCAGATAGTGTCACCATAGAGGCACAGGTGGTGGCCCGGGTGGATCCTGGAACATTGAGACACCTCCTTGGGTCTCTCAGAAGAACTAGAGGGACAAAACCCCCTGGGAAGAAATGGACCGCAGTCCCGCAGCTAAGCAGATGAGACCTAATGTGCTTAAAATACTGAACTGATGATTTCAGGGGGATATTCAAGCTGTATTAGTAAAGAGAATGTTACTGTTCAAAATGAATTTCAAGTTTTAAAAATTTTAGAAATCAGGAAAAACTGCTAAAAAACTTTGAAGTTTTTAAAAATCAACCTAACATACACAAAGTTTCTAATATAGGAAGCATATTTATTTTAAAATATTTGCAGTTAGACTTCCTTGTTTCTAAATAAATCACCTGCACTCACTATAAATTCAAAGATGAATTCCCCCCACCACCTCCCAGGAAACAATTCTGCTTCCATTTGGAATCCCAAGGTGCCAACTGCTCCCACTTCAGGTGCTCAGCCTGCATAAATAATGGGTTCCCAGTGGCTCTGTAAGAGGCATGTGGTCTTGGGAAGATGAGGAGCCAGAAATGGCCATTTGGAGACTAAGTTTTCAGCATATGCCCCCATTAGGGATGTACTCTGGAACTAAAACAGTCCACATCAGTGTGCTTCTTCCAGTCCCAAATCGAATGGACCTGCCACTTCCAGGCTACCCAAGTTATTAATGCACAGTGACAGCTGAATTTAACTGTTTTTCACTGCAGCTCAGCGCCAAGGCCTGAGTAGAAATAATCCTTTTATCTCCCAATAAAGGAGAATTACCGGCATTTTGTAGCGCAGCTCTCTCTGAAGGGCCATCTTTAGAAGCTAGAGGCTTTGCATTTCCTGGAATGGTCAGATTAAAGATGCTTTTCTCTGATCTCTGGGCAGGTAGTTGATTATATTGTCACCCAGTTGCCCTGTGGAAAGCACTGCAGGTTTCCATTTTAAAGGGATTTCAGAGCACAAATGTCATTCTCGAAAACTTTTCTGAAAGACCAACTTAGTCTTCAAAGCCATACTGTTTAGGAGCCAGCTGTTGCCTAGGAACAGCCAGTAGGGATGCTTTGAAAGAATATAATTTGGTCTGCTGTCTTCTTTACTTGCCCCCCATGGGTATAATCTCACCTGGATCATTTTCTGCTGTACATAATTCTTACACAGATAACAACCTTATATAATAGACAATCAAATGTAGTAATACCTTCTATTCACTTCCATAAAGATGGCTCACCTTCCACCTGAAATACTGATAAAACTGCATTCATCTCAACTGATAAGACATCTGACATCCCATCATGGGGCTTGGTTCCTTGACTATATTATTTTATGTTAATCTTCAAAGGAACTCTGAATTAGGTGTTCTACACCTCAAGTTTTAAATGGGAGAACTGAAGCCAGGAACTTTAGGCAATTTGCCTAAGGTTATACAGTTTTAGTAATTGGTAGAGATGGAGGATCCATTCCAGTCTGATCTTAAATCCTGTGTCCTTCCCAAGATCCCATCCTGGAAATCAAGGTTTCTCGCCTTTGACACCTTTGGCATTTTGAACTGGATAATTCTTTGTTGTGGGGGCTGCCCTGTGCATTGAAGGATGTTTAGCAACATTCCTGGTCTCTGCCCACTAGATGCCAGTAGCACACATTCACACACAATCGTGGTGATTAAAAATGTGTCCAGACATTGCCAAAAGTTCCCTATAAAGCAAGATCACCCCAGCGGAGAATCACTGCTCTAAATGTTCTGAAGCATTTGCTTTCTTACAAGGCTGAGGTTTCGTGGTCCCATGAAATGCACAGAAGAATCTGAAGACCCTGATGGTATTTAGGAGTGGCCTTACAGGGTATGCTTTAAGAAATATGAATTAATTATAATTAGCATTTTTTCTTTGTACCTAAAGAGCCCCTATTCCTGTTACTCTTGAAAATCATTTGTCCTCTGCAATGAGTAAATGTTCACACTGCAAAACCACTCAGAAACTTCAGTGGCCTGCAGCTGCCTCAGGAGTTCAGCCCAAGCTCCTCAGAAAGACATTCAAGGCCTCCCCAGTTTGCCTTCAGTTCTCTTCTCCACTCTCAAACCCCACGTATTTGTAGGTTACAGCCAAGCAATATGACTCACTGTGGTTAAAACGCATCCTACGTTTTCTTGTTCCATGTCTTGGCTGAGGATATTCACTCTCTGCCTCCCACCTCTCCTGATCCCACGCCACATCCCGCCTTTGTCTTGGAATCCTTCTTATGTCATTTGAGTTCACTTGATGCTCTCTGCAACTCCCACACAGCCTCCCCAGCACAGTGGTGGAAGGATGGGTCTCTCCTCTGTCCACAGTTGGTTTCTGTCTTAGTCCATTTTCTGCTGCTATAACAGAATACCACAGACTGGGAAATTTATTTAAAAAGAGATTGATTTGGCTTATGGTTCTAGAGGCTGGGAAATCCAAGAGCAGGGCACTTGCAACTGGCAAAGGTCATCCCATGGCAGAAGACAGAGGGTGAAAGTGAGCACCCAAGACAGAGAGAAAGTTAAGCCAAACTTATCCATCCCATCAGAAGCCCTCTTCCACAATAATAGCAGTAATTCATTCATGAGGGCCAAGCCCTAGTGGCCTAATCACCTCTCAAAGGCTCCACCTCCCAATACTGTTACAATGACAATTAAATTTACACATGAGTTTTGGCAGAGTCATTCAAACCATAGCAGCATCTCGCTCATCTCAACCAGTTTTATGGAGAGTGTGTGATCTTTCATGCTGGATTGAAAATTCTTAGAGAACAAGTACTATATTTCAGGCCTTCTAGTCAGTCCTTATCTCTTAGCAGACATGCTATACTTGGGGGGTTGGGCTAGATCAGATTGGAGGTGGGATTGAATGGATATTGCAAAGGTAAACATCTGACTGGTTTCCATGGGCATTAAAATAAATTTCGAACGTGAGAGCTGGGCAGTGCAGTGAAGACAATGGAGCACATCAGTTTGTCTTTCTAGTGCACAACTGCCCTACTCCAGGTGACTTTTTGGATGCCCTGAGTGGGTCTCTGACCAGAGCCACCACTAGGGTTGTGCCCACTGAGCCTCACTGGGTGGCTCCTGGCTGAGAGGTGTGTGTGGCTGGCATCCTCTTCATATTTCCCTCACTGAGTGTGTGCCCTAGGCAGGCCTGTGCTTATCAGAGAAAGGGCCCCTTTTCCGAAATTTCACAAAGGTGGCATATGGGCTGGTGGAAGCACTGACACTAAAAACTCTTCCATGAGGAAAGGGACAGCACATCTGACATTTTTATTCCCAAATTTATAGGTAATCAGTCCTTTAACTAAGGCTTATTGCACTGGATCCTGCCTAGCCTATCCTATCACTTTGTTTTGCCACTGCTTGACTAGTGAGAGGTGGTTATTGATTCATTCAACATATTTGTGTTAGTCACTGAATATGTGTATAGGCTACAGGAGTGCAAAAAACAAAGCCCCTGTCCTCATCAAGCTTGTATTCTAGTAGATCCTTATATTCACCCCTCAGTGTTCACCATCAGACAACAGCCACATACAAAACAAAATGTATATCCAAGCTCCTGTTTTGGAGAGTTCTGATACTCCTGTTTTGAGCTTTTCTTGAGTGTTTTTTGTTTTGTTTTGGTTTTGGTTTTGTTTTTTGTTTTTTTCTTTTTTTACAAATGTATTTCTCTGGGGCAATCATTTTAGAAAATAACTTTGCCTAGGTTGCTAAAGCGGTTGCATGGGTGTCTCAGCATAGCCAGGGCTCAGAGAGTAGTGCTCCTCAGGGAAGACCTCAATTCCTGCATGGTCACATGGTCGAATTTCAGCTACAGCTGTTCAGACCATCTGACCAAGTCTGTTGAGACAGTCTGAGCATTCCATACCATTTGCATGTAATATTAAGGTATAAACTGAGCATTCTCCAGAAACCAGCCCAGAACCATCTTTAATCTAAAAATTTCCAAGGAGGGCCATCTGGGCATAAATGCACAGGATATAAGTGAAAACTGGAGTCTAACCTTTAATGTTCCTATTGGCAGAAACGGAAACTGTCACATCTTGAACACTTCATCTTACTATCCCCCTCTTGTATCTACAGATGGAAAACTGTGCAGCAGCTACAACCGAGGACTCATCTCGAAGGCAAAAGTCAAAGCTATCAAGTATAGCATCGTCATCATTCTTGGTAAGCTATGTCCCTCCTTGAGCTGTAAAGTGGTATGAACATCCCAAAAGCAAGCTTGTTCCTGGGACCTGGTGGCAGAAAGGAATTTGCCAATGGGCACTTCTACATTGGTCTGATTGGAAAGGAATGTGTGAAACTCATCAGCCCATTCATGGTTCCTTCAAGGTCTCACATTTGGTTCTTAATCGCTCTCCTTATGAATACAGCTGCCTGCCAAGGCTATGGGTTGAATAATTTGGAGAAAATCTGATTAGGAACTAGCTGAAGTGGATGCTCACATCACCTGCTAACTCAGTCACTTCCTTGAAGACACTCTCTTTCCCAAGGCTGGAGTTCACAAGCAAAAAGAAGATAGAAGCGGCTTTCCACCTTTTCTGAATATTTAACGTTAGGTTCACTACAAATTTCTCCCTTATGGCACCTTACCTGCCCTTCCACCCTCCTGTCTTCTGCCCTTTCCTTTTCCTTTCTCTCTACTCTTAAGACTCATAAAGTCACCTTGCACTATTTCCTGTCTGAAATACTCTGCTCTCTGGTGGTGATCTGACTTACTTCCTAACCTCATTTGTTCCCCAACAATGCCACCTCCCTGAGGGCTCCTTGACAAGTCTTTTTAATATCCTTTTTCTAGTCTACTCTGTCTTACTTTTGTTCTCGGTTCTGCCTGGCACTATAGGACATAGACTGATTTTCTTATAGTCTGTCTCTCCTGTTGGAGTAGTGAATCTATGAGGGCAATGACTTTGGCTTTTGTGTTACTTATGTTATCACCAAGACCTAAAATAGGGTCCCCTACACACTGCTCAATTAACATTTGTTGAATGAATGAATGAATGAATGAATGAATGAATGAAAATATGCAAGAAGGAAAGGGATTTGTACTATTTTCTTTTTTATTTAGCTTACATATCCCCTCTTTGCCCCTCTGGCAGCTCTTGGAAGCTCCGAGGAAGCATAGCTCTCCCATTAGCTACATGTCAAAGCACCAGAACAGTCTTCTCACCTTTCTAAAATGCAACTGCAAAATGCCAAACAGACCACACACAGCATGACTCAGCCAGCAGGACGTAGGCACAAAACAGCATTGCAGGCGGAACTGGGATAAAACATATACAACCCACCGGGGCTCAAAAACTTTGTCAGAGGCTTCTGAAGCAGATCAGAGACTCCTCTGTGTTCTCAGATAGTCAGAACGACAGATGCACGTTCCCTGGATGTTGAGTTGGAAAATGTTATGTTTACAAGTATGTCCCAGAGCCAACATAGCCCTTTGTCATCAGCAGCCATATACCAAGGCCACGTGGGATCCCAAGGCAAGCAGAGACACCTACTAGAGGGTCAGCAAATGTCGACAACCCTATCAGACCAAAAGGGCACTTACTATAGCAAACGCTTTGTAATGTCCCTTTCCCATCTTGAAATAAAATGCCTACTTATACTACCTACCATGATAATTAAAACGTTAATATATTGCCAAAAAATAATACAAAGGAGGAATAAGAAAATAATCTAAAATAAAACAATACTATTTTTTAATTAATTAAAATTTATACCAATTTTAATGTGTAAAAGCGTAAGCACAGCTACACTAGAAGAATAATGAAGTAGTCACACCTACACCTTGACATAATAACAGCTACAATGAAAACCAGTACAGGTGTATTTTCATGGAGACATAAAAAAATGTAAGCAGTATTGTTGTCAGTGACTTGATTTTCTGAGCTGGCAAAAAGAAAAAATCCTTGTAAAATTTTGAATTAAACAAAGTAATGTTTCCTCCATTTACAACAGAATTGCATTTCTACAAATTTTAGTATTTATTTAATCTGTGTTTATGTGTAAAACAAAGTCAAGTTTCTAGACTGGGATAACTATACAGAAGTTTCTCTTCTACATGAATGGATATTCAAAGTAGATACAAATCTTCGCTGGCTGGGCTGCCTGTACCATGCCAGAGAACTGGTATCCCTGTGACAACCAGAATCCTCCAACCCCACATATACACACAGGCAGACACACAAGCTCACAAGGCCATTTGCCCCGCTTAGTGCCCCAGATACTGTTCAGGGCCAGTGTTTGGGTTAATTAACCAGGATCCAGAACACTTAGTGGGCTTTGTGTTTGAATTGCTCCACTTTAATACATTGCCAAGGTCTGGGGTCGAGAGGGGAACCATGAGTCAGTTTATCATTCTAAAATTCCCCAACAAGTTACAGAATTCGCATTAGAGTTATGGTGGAAAGCTTGTCCCTGCATGCAGACAGCCAAGGAAGCCAAACTTCTACTCTGAGAAAAAAATCTATGGATGAGAAAGCGGGAGAAGGAGAGTGGAGAAGTTATGGCAAGAAGATGAGAGATGTATGTATTTCCAGTCAACTCATGAGTGTTTAGCTCTGTGTCGTAGTCTGTGCTCTCCAGAGGATAATGAGAGAGAGAGGTTTATTAGAAGGGATTGGCCCAGGTAATTACTGAGGCTGAGAATTCCCAGGCTGCGCAGTTGGAAGCTGGAGACCCAGGAAAACCAATGGTGTATGTGCCAGTCCAAGTCTGAGTCCAAAGGTCTGAAAATCAGGAAAGTGGATGGTGTACATTTCAGTTTGATTCCAAGTGTGAAGGCAGAAGACCAATTTCCTAGCTTGAAGACAGGCAAACAGAGTGAATCTTCTTTTACTCAACCTTTTTCTATGACTAAGGCCTTCAACAGATTGGACACGGCCCATGAACAGGGGAGGGCAATCTGCTTCTCTTACTCTACCAGTTCAAATGTTACACTCATCCAGAAACGTCTTCATACGTATCCAGAATAGTGTTTAACCAAACATCTGAGCACTCCGCAGCCCAGTCAAGTAGTCTCAAAACTAGCCATCACGCTCTGAATCCCCACCTTTCATCCATTTCTTTTGAGAATTTGGAGCCAAAATTGGGGTCTCATCCATGCCAATGGATTTAGAGAAGGGTATAGTGTGGGTGTTTTCTGGAGAGGCCAACTTAGAGGTGAAAGAGAAAATTGAGAACACTGTCATTAAACTGGTGTGTGCTTAGAAAATATTGTGATCACCCCTTCTCCCTGACATAACCTAAAACCAGTAGTCACTATGTGGTCAAAATGCTTCTTGTTCTGTCTTTTCCTAGAGGGTCTTCAAAGTATTTTGCTATTTTTTCCTGATCCCTGTGTTGGATGAGATGGTATGGCCATAGTCACTTGTTCCTGGGGTTTCTATAAAGAATCCACAGCAGTAGAAATTTGACCCTTCTTTACGGACAGAGAAGCTCTACGACCATTGCTCAGTTTTAGGAACATGTCTGTAAGATGTGTCCATATGTATGTGTGTATGTGTTTAAGTGAATGTGACATCAATGCTCTAAACAGCATCCAACTCCAATATTTCTGAGAAATTCCAGGTCCCAAAGAACCTCCCAGGTAAAAGTCCAGTCAGGACCAACCAAAAGAGACCCCTCAACTGTTACCTGCTGTGGTGCTAATGGCTCTCTTCTCCCCCAGCCTTCATCTGCTGTTGGAGTCCATACTTCCTCTTTGACATTTTGGACAATTTCAACCTCCTTCCAGACACCCAGGAGCGTTTCCATGCCTCTGTGATCATTCAGAACCTGCCAGCATTGAATAGTGCCATCAACCCCCTCATCTACTGTGTCTTCAGCAGCTCCATCTCTTTCCCCTGCGGGTAAGGGGAGCTCCTGCATGGGTCAGATACACTGATGGTCATTGCACTGGGATTCCATCAACACGTGGGTTTCTCACATCTACACTCTCCAGCAGGTTACAGAATCCCCCTTTTATAGATGAGAGGCTTGAGAGTCAGAAAGATTCCACTAACATGGCTGATTCAAACCCTGGCCCAGGCCACAGCTGATGTGCTTTTTCCTATACCACAACACCTCGTATAGAAAACACCTTAATCATGACACATCTAGAAGACCTTGCTTGCTTTTGTTCAAAGCATCTTCACATGAATTGCTTCAATACAGTTATATGGCAATAACAGGACATGGAGCCTTATTACCATTTTAGAGATAAACAAAGTGAGTCTTACATGGTTAATGACATCATTGAGGTTATATGAATAATTAGCAGAGCTGAAATTAAATCCCTCCCACAGTTATTGTGATTCTTCTGTTTTTCTGCTGTTTTTCAGTTGTTTTCCTGCATAAGCCACAGAGGGTAGGTGGAGAATTCCATAGGAGATACAAGAGGAGAACAATTTAAGTCTTGGGCTTAATGCCAGTCGGTGAAGTTTATATCTTGCCATTGCTTATTCCTAGCGATGTGTGACCTTGGGCAAGTTATTTAATGTCTATAAACCTCAGCTTCTTCATCTGTAAAACGGGGCTAATAGCAGTGTCTACCTATTGGCCTGTGATGTCTCTGTCCTCTGGGCTCTGGTGCTGACCAGTGAGAAGGAGAGCTGTGAGTCATGGAGAAGGAAGGTCAGGGTATTACATGTAAAGTGCCTGGCACAGTTGTCTGATCTTTAATACAGTTTTTATAACTATTGTATCTTAACATGTCTACTTCCCTTTTCATTAGGTCAAATTATTTCCCTCCCTGCTTTATTTTGACTTTCTCCAGGGAGCGAAGATCACAGGATTCCAGAATGAAGTTCCGAGAGAGAACCGAGAGGCATGAGATGCAGATTCTGTCCAAGCTAGAATTCATCTAGACACTAGGACAGTGCCAGTGCTAGGCTGAGCACCATCAACTCTCCCAGGTCCCTGTCACCTGCTTGGGCATGTGCATAAAACTCGAGCCAACTTCATCCCACCCTCGTCATCACCTGGGAGATGCACAAGACAAATGTTCTAATGAGTGCATGCACTGCGTTAAGTATTGGCCAACACGAACTCCCCAGTTACTCATGCCAGCCAGGAACGAAACACCTTCCTTCACGACCATTCCCAGCCCTCCTTCCCACTGGCCAGCACCTGAACCCAGTGAACACAGGCATCAGTGGCCTAAGGTCCTGGCTTGGAGCCAGTGAGTAGACAGGCAAGCAGAGGGGACAAAGGTAGCTGAGTTATACATGAATATTCTCATTACAAAGAAGAAAATAAAAGACTTAATTAAGCCTAGACTTTTTCCCCAGTTTTGGATTGAAGGTTCAGTGCTTGTAGCCAAGAAAGTGTTTGTCCTTGAAATGCCAACAAATTCATTTCCAGGCATTGGCGCTTTGCACCTCTTCTGCAGATAGCCTCAGTTTGCAGATGGGTATGCTGGCAGCAGCCAAGTACATCTCCTATTCCATCAACAAATGATTTGTGGTAAGGGCATACTGTTGGCCCTCCAGAACAAGGTGAAATGAAGGGATACTGCTTCCGATAGAAAATAAGTTGTGCTCAAAAGCCATGGGCCCCTGACTTCCAGCCTCTGAGAGCTGGTCCCTAGAACACACATGTCCTTGAGGCTTCTTTCTTTCTTTCTTTCTTTCTTTCTTTCTTTCTTTCTTTCTTTCTTTCTTTCTTTCTTTCTTTCTTTCTTTTCTTTTCTTTCTTTTTTTTTTTATGGAGTCTTGCTCTGTCACCCAGGCTGCAATACAGTAGCACGATCTCGGCTCACTGCAAACTCCACCTCCTGGGTTCACCCCATTCCCCTGCCTCAGCCTCCCAAGTAGCTGGGACCATAGGCGCCCACCACCACGCCTGGCTAATTTTTTGTATTTTCAGTAGAGATGGGTTTTCACCATGTTAGCCAGGATGGTCTTCATCTCCTGACCTTGTGATCTGCCTGCCTCAGCCTCCCAAAGTGCTGGAATTACAGGCATAAGCCACCGTGCCCTTGAGGTTTTCTAAGACCTCTCACTCTGTATTTAACACTTGGGCCACTCTGGGCTCCATTCCTCACACCTCAAGGACAAGTCTTCCTGTTTTTAAATCCCTGAACCCTCTCTTTGGTTAGGAGCTAGGTTCCTGTGGCTTTTCCAGGCTTAATGTTTCTCTAAGCTCTTTATCGTTTTTGCCTGTCGCAGCCTTTGTCTAGCACCTCGGCCGGGAAGTGCTAGTGGGACTTATTTTGACAGGTCTGGAGTTTGGTACTTATGAGCATAATCCAAGTGAAATATGACTAAATGTTTTCTAGTCAATTTCTCCTATCAGATTTTTCCACAAGTGGAAGTGAAATAATTTCATTTGATCATATATACATCCCACCCACGGCTCTGGGATGCACGTGAGCACCTTATTTTAGCTTCACATATATTCTTGACATTAAAATCTCCTTGGCAAAATCCTCCTTCCCAGAATTATTCAGAGCTTAAATCGGTTTTTTTTTTTTTTTTTGACATACTGCTAGTGGAGTCATTAAATTGTTCAGTATATTTTAATAGCACTCCATTCCTCATTATGGTGTCAACTCCAAGTCTGCGTCTTTAAGGTCATATGGGCTTTTTTTTTTTTTTTCCATAAACTCTCTTTTCAATTCGATCTGACCTTAAGGAAAGTACCTCTTTAGGAGGAAGTCAGACTCCTCACTCACTATCTCTCTGGGATTTGTTCTCTGAATTTGAGGAGCCTGAATAGTTTTATTTCTACACAACAGTTTTGAAGGCTGTCTCCCTCTCTGTCCAATCAGCTAAACTTGAGCAACCGTGGAAGCTTTGAGCAGCTGAGAAATGCTTTTCAACATTTCACTTTAAATCAAGATGTGCCACAGAAGACCCACGGAACTGTTGCTAAAATAGCTGCCTGCACAGCAGCCAATTAACAGAGCAAAATCTGGCAGATGTCCTACATGGCAAAACAGGAGGACCAGGTTCTCTTGACAGAAGCTTTCAATCTTTGTCAAGTCTGGTCTGCAAAATACATTACATGCCTACCTCATCCACTGGTAAGGTCTCAAAGTGAAGGAGAGAGTGGAGTGAGGGGCGTTGTGATCTGTAGAAACTGTGAACATGATTTTGTAGTTGTTGTGATGCTGTCTCTCTCATTTCCTGAGAAGACTGGAGATCAGTAAGATAAGTGTACAGGTTGCTGCAGGATAATCTACCATTTAAATGAAACTTGCTTTATATTGGTATGGATTCTGGAATTGTCATTTCCAGATGTATTTGCTGAGCTTGGGGAAACATGATGTAACTGGTAATTGGCCGGGTGCGGTGGCTCACGTGTGTAATCCCAGCACTTTGGGAGGCTGTGGTAGGCAAATTACGAGGTCAGGAGATGGAGACCGTCTTGGCTAACACAGGGTGAAACCCTGTCTCTATTAAAAATACAAAAAAATAATTAGCCAGGCATGGTGGCGGGCGCCTGTAGTCCCAGCTACTTGGGAGGCTGAGGCAGGAGAATGGCGTGAACCCGGGAGGCGGAGCTTGCAGTGAGCCCAGATCATGCCACTGCACTCCAACCTGGGTGACAGAACGAGATTCCATCAAAAAAAAGAAAGAAAAAGGAAAAAGAAGGAAAGTACTGGTAATTAATAGTCTTGTGACCTTGAACAAATCATTTCACACCTCTGGGCATCAACGGTCTCATCTGCAAGATGGGGACAAAGTCAGGCTGGAGCAGAGGATCTTGGTGGTTCTTCCCAGACACAGGCTCTGAGATTGTGTCCAGACAGTGAGAGCTTCTAGAATTCTTTCCCCAGGGGACCAATGACTCAGTGACTTAATGCTGAGTCATTTGCCCTTTAGAGGTGTGACTTCCCTATCTATCACTATGAATGCAGAGAAATATCATTTCCCAACTGAGAAATGCAGTTTGAGCTCTTGGAGAAAATTAGAAGCTTAGTGCTGTGACGTTACTGTTTGTAGCCTTTGATGCCCATGTGGAATCAGAGAAGCCAGCAGGATGATACCTAAAATAAAGGTGCTTACTTCCTGCACCAAGATGTGGAAAAGTCTATGGTTACATTATTGCATGGCATCAGGGACAGGAGAAAATTTAGGAGAGCCGGAGTAGGTGTGCTTACTATATTCAGCCATACTATAGAAAATAAGTGTCTCCACTTTACTGAACTAAATTAAACATGAATGGTAAAAACTTCTCTACTTGCAGGGTGCATGTGGAACATAATTTAGTTGAAGTTTACTTTCACTAAGGAACATCTCCCACCTTTTTCCCCAGAAAATGATAACACCTTTTTAATGACTTTCCTTTGTGGATAATCAGGAGAAAAAAAAGTGTCCCTTTTAAATCAGCCCAACACACAGCTTAAACTTCCTAGCTTCATTTAGAAAATTCTGTATACTCATATATAGAAATGACCTTGCCTCTTCCAACTGCATTCACAGTGTCAGTCAGAAAAGGCCACAAGCCTGAGTCTGAGAGAAAAAAGGAAAACAAAAATGTCTTTAGCAGGAAATAAAGTGACTCTGCTCTTCTAGAATTATCTTAGGTGAGCTACAGACCTGCTGGCAACTCCAATTTTTTCATCATCATTTGAACATACCTCATCTTATATGCAGATCGACTAGTGTTCCCTGAAGCTTTCCAATTGCATTTAATTGAAGGGAGACCATTGTAACTGTTTAGGTGCCAATCTCTGTGTTTTTGGAAACATGAAAAACTCATGCCTCATTTCTCTGCAATTGCATTTTAAGAATACATCATCCGCAACAGGCTGGTCCAGTTAACATTTTAAAAGTGCAATTCCAGGCTTACAGAATGTTCAAGTGGATAGAGTCTTACATCATCCAGTCTAATGGTTTTCAGATTGCTCAGAGACTCCAAAGCTGTTCCAAGGAGGTGACTCAATATTAATATTTTTACAGAGCTGGGCATGGTGGCTCACGCCTGTAATCCCAGCACTTGGGAGGCCGAGGAGGGCGGATCACCTAAGGTCAGGAGTTCGAGATCAGCCTGGCCAACATGGTGAAACCCCATCTCTACTAAAAAAAAAACAAAAATTAGATGGGTCTGGTGGCGGGCCGCCTATAATCTCAGCTACTTGGGAGGCTAAGGCAGGAGAATCACTTAAACCCAGGAGGAGGAGGTTGCAGTGAGCCAAGATCTCACCATTGCACTCTGGCCTGGGCAACCAGAGGGAAACTCTGCCTGAAAAAAAAAAAAAAAAAAAAATTTCTTACACACAACAACAGCATAGCATAGAAATCAAGAGGCGACTAAACATAGTTAAATAGTTTCAAGTTCCTTAAATTATCTTGCATGCAAAATGTGGATTAAGATGCGCCAAGAATGCATGTTACAATTTCAGGGTCATCACTAAAATAATAGAAATGCAAAAATAAATATCTTTCAGACTAAAAAAGAAGGAAAGCCGAGTGACAAGTTACTCAAATAATTTGAAAGAAAACAAGAAAAGAGAGAAACAGGGACATAAAACGGCTGGGATAAACAGAAAACACATAGGAAGATGGTGGATTTTTTTTACCCAAACTTACTAGTAATTGTAAGTGCAAAGAGATTAAATGCCCCAGTTAATCATCAAAGACTGTCAGACTGATTTTTAAAAAACTAAATAACTGTCTGTTGTTTACAAAAGGCATGCCTAAAACACAGGGATACAGAAAGTTTGAAAATCAAAGAATGGATCCAGGTATTCTATGGAAACTGTAGCTAAAAGAAAGCTGGTAAGGCTATATTAATAAAGACTAAATGCACTTTAAGGCAAAAAAGAATTAGTAGAATTAAACAGGGACACTTCATAACAATAAACATTTTAGTTTAATAAGATGAAGTAATAATTCTAAATTTCCATGCATTTAAAAACATGGCCTCAAAATATACACTTCTAAAAGTTGTCAGAACTATAAAATAAATAGAAAAATTCACAACCATAATGGGGAATTTTATCACACTTAATGCCAGTAATTAAAGCAGACAAAAATCAGGAATGATCTGAATAATTTGAACAACATGAATAACACAGGTAGAGTACTTTGCTTTACCACCCCTGAATAGATATTTTTTTCAAACACACATGAAGCAGTTACCAAAGTTGACCACACGCCAGGTCATAAAACAAGCTTCAACATTTCCACGAGATTGAATTCATATAGTCTGGTTTTTCTGATCACGCTGTAATTATGCTAGA